AACAATTATTAAGAAGAAGTCTTGGTGTGGCGTTGCAAGATAGTGCATGGGACTGCAAGGTCGGTTTGAACTGCAAGGTTGGCGGTTTCCTCAAAACCCTAGACAGGGTTGCTATGAGTAAGACCCAACTAGATGAGACTTCACAACAACAACAATATTATTAAGAAAGTAGGGAGAACTAGATCTTGGGAAAGACAACTAGCAGTCTTTACCACAGAACTAAACAAGGGGATCTGATTCTTTATAATCTTTTCCCACCATCAAATGGAATGTTTCTTCGTAACAGAAACTTGATTTATCTTTACAGTTCCAGTTTGTTCTGAAGTGCCTTAGGCATAATTAATATTAACATTAATATTAAATATGATACAACCTTAAAGTAACTCTGGCAACTATTATTAGCAAACAATGCAGAGTAATATGATATGATATATAATCTCAAAATTTCTCACTAGATTCTAAGTTTCTTCAGTCAGTAAATCACTGACTTGAATGTTGACTATGGTATATAATTGGGTATTAAAAGATATTAGCAGTATTCATCCATGGTTCTTAAGGAGCTCTGGTAGCGTAGTGGTTACGAATCGGGCTGCGAACCTTAAGGTCAGTGGTTCGAAACCACCAGCTGCTCCGCGGGAGAAAGATGAGGCTCTCTACTCCCGTAAAGATTTACACCCTCGGAAACCCTATACAGGGTCGCTATGGGTTGGAACCGACTCGATGGCACATAACAACAACAACAATCCATGGTTCTTACTGAGGCCTAAAGCAATTGGAGACTTTTTAAGTGGAATTTGGGTTGGTGAAAAGCCCTTTTCCCCATTGACAGAAAATAAATGATAATCAACATTTGTATAGCATTTTAATGACATCTTCACAGCACCACCAGGATTTTATTTTACATTAAATCTGCACATCACCAGGGAGTTCTTTAGTTTTTATTCTTATTTTACAGACGAAGAAATGGAGGCTAAATAGGGTCAAGATATTTCCCTTAGGGACAGAGCTGGAATTAGAAATTGGAATTTAAGAAAATCAAATGCATCACTGTTGTTGTTGCTAAGTGTCCTGGCGTCAGTTCTGACTCATAGCCACCCTGTATAGGGTTTCTGAGGCTGTAAATCTTTACAGGAGCAGAAAGTTGCATCTTTCTCCTAAGGAGCAACTGATGGACTCAAACCGTCGACCTTATGATTAGCAGTCCAGTGCTTATCCTACAGCGCTATAGTAGGGCTCATAAAAGACTACAATTCCCAACATGCCTTAAGACTCTCGAGACGACTTTGACTCCCAGCATGCTGTAGTTTGGAACTCTTTGGGAACTCTGAGTCCCAGAATGCAACGCTCCTTAGTACCAGCTCCCAGCGGGCCAACAAGACTACAGTTCCCAGCATGCAGCGCCGATCCTTGTTTCTGGCGCCCCGCTGGACCCTGTTTCGGAGGGACATTTTAAACTCCACTAGGCTGGTCGTGGAGTCAGAGCCCCCTCCGGGGAACGTATTTGTAGGGCGATTCTGGTCCGTGGAGCCTGTCCGAACGAAGTCTTGGAGAGATGAGTTGGGGCCTGGGCCGGGCTTCGCTCAGGCAGCTTTCCAGGCAGCCCCATCGGGGCCCTTCTGGGGCCTACCTCCCTTTGAACCGCGGCGGCGGGCGGGCGCACAGTCTCCTGCACGCCTCAGAGTAGGGGCCTTCATCCCCATGGCCACGGCTGCAAGTCGGCCATGCGCCGGCGGGTCGCGGGACGTCCTGTGGCGCGTGAGTGTGGTATAGCCACGTACTCGGCTGCTGTTAAGTTGGTCTGGACAGGCGGCCGTGACCACGCGTGCGCGCGACACGGGGGAGGGTCCGGTCCGTGGGGAGAACGCGTGCGGCGGGAGCTACCTGTGGAAGCTGATTACTGCTTATTTTTTGCGGGGGTCGGGGGCACAGCCTGAGTGATGACTACCGGATGGAAGTGGAGTCCTGAGTGAAATCTGCTTACCGTGTGAAAGGGAGTTAGGAAATGCTCACGTGTTGGACTGTGTGGAAGAGTGTCATTAGTGGGAGTTGGTTAGTGAGAGAGGGATGACCTGAATTAGGTCCTTGAAGTTGTTGAATCAACAAAACTGCATCCCTTCTGTAGAGGGCAGAGAGAAATAGGAAGAAGATGCTTTTTAGGTTGGGATTTCTACATGTGACTGGCCTCGGTTCAAGCCTGCCAGCCGCTCTGCAGGAGAAAGATGAGGCATTCTGCTCCCGAGAAGATTTAAAGCCTCAGAAACCCCATACAGGAACGATATGAGTTGGAACTGACTCGAAGACACTAACAACAACAGCAAAGCACTATCATCTCCCCAGTATTTGAAGCTGAAAGTTTTTGAATCGTTAATGAGCTATTCTCTCCCGCCTGTATTATCAATCACAAAGCCTTAGAGATGTCTCTCTCGGGAATATGGCTGGAATTTGTTCCAGTTTATCTTTCTCATTGCAACTGCACTTGGTCAGACATCAATGATAGAGTCTTTGGCTTGGAATATTACAGTTGCGGGCCACCTGTCACCTCTGTGTCCTGACTAGGGCTCATCCCCGGATCTGTCATCCTCACGGTCATTGACCAAACACAAAAGTGTTTTCCCTGCCCAAACACACATCTGTCACTAGCGTATTTTAAGGCCTTTCCTATCTCCCCTAGTATATGTGTTGTTGTTGTCATGTGCCGTGGAGTCGGTTCCAACTCATAGCGACCCTGTACAGGGTTTCCGAGGCTGTAAATCTTTACGGGAGCAGAAAGCCTCATCTTTCTCCCGCAGAACAGCTGGTAGTTTCGAACTACTGATCTTGAGATTCACAGCCCATTTTGTAACCACTACGCTACAGTAAATCTTGTACCTCATACTTGGCAAGCACTGGGAATTAAAAAATAAATAGATGTGGTGGTGTTGCTAAGTGCTATGGAGTTAATTCCAACTCACAGAGATCCAGTGTAGGATTTCCAAGGAGCAGATGGTGGATTTGAACTTACGACTTTTCCAATGCTTATCCTACAGCAGCACCACACTAGGACTCCAAATATGAAGTAGCTCAATAAGGAGCACATGTGTAATCATTCTAGTCACAATTCCAATATATTAATAAAAAGCAATTGTCATTGGGTCGATTCTGACCCATGGTGAGGACATGTGTCAGAATAGAAACTCCATAGGATTTTCATTGGCTGATTTTTCAGAAGTAGACTGTCAGCCTTTTCTTTAAGGTGCCTCTAGGTAGATTCAAACTTCCAATCTTTCAGTTAGCTGCTGAGTACATTATTTAAACCACCCTTGGACTCCACAATATATCGAAGGATCCCATAAAATGTTTGCAACTTTTCCTAGCCATTGGGCTACTAACTGCAAGGCCAGTAATTCAAACATACCAGCTGCTCTACTGAACATGAGGCTATCTTCTCCCATAAAGATTAAGTCTTTGAAACCCTACGTAGGGTTACTATGAGTTGAAGTTGACTTGATGGTAGTGGTTGATTTTGGTAATATAATGATCAAAGCTAAAGAGATAATAAATTATTGTAAAATACTGTTGTAAAACCAAATAAAATAATCCCATTGTCTCCTAAAAGTGTGCTGTTTGATGTAGCACTTGTCTGGGCTAATGCATGCATCAGTTCACCAAGAATTGCAGTATCCTGTGGTGATATGTAATGTTATTAATAGTAGTGACCATTTGTGTTTATATATAGCTGCATGTACTAAGATCTGGATGTAAAATAATAATTATAATTTTAACATCTTGTGTGAAATTTGCAAATTTCATATTTGCATAACTGAAATAACTGGGGTCATAATTGAGGGTTTTATTTTATTATAGGTTTTAGGCTGGCGAATAGTTTCAAGTGTTGCTTGGTCGGTGCTGCTTCTCCCCATCTGTACCACAGTATTTATAATCTTTAGCAGCATTGATGTGTTTCATCCTGTACAGTGGCTGTCAGGTAAGTGGTATGCAATTTAGGCAAATCAAATTTATAGAATCTTCTTGTCAAGCTAAATATTGTATAATGTTACAAATAGCTTATTTTAAATTATCTCCTATATTGACACACCAAAGCATTCTCTTGAGATAATTTTAAGGCATCCCATTTCATAACATAAACCAGCTTTTCATTATGTAATAAGAAGAGCAACAAACCTTTCAGAAACCAAGAGTAAAAGATCTAATTAGAAGACCATATAAATGAAACCCTGACTTCATAATTGATGGCTTTATTAAAATTATTTGTCTTTTTAACAAAGATAACTGCCCTTATCTATTTAAAGATTGTCTGTAGAAAATATGATATACATAACATAATAAATGTCTAAAATTAAGAATGAACCTCTTCACCTATTGACCATCTCATTAGCTGTTAGTGTGCATTTATGCAGTTGTAAAAAAAAAAAAACCTATCTGATTAGTTGGTGCGTTAATGACATGTATGTCTGGCAGCAGTGAATGCCACAGTGTGAGGTGATAGTAATGCTGACTGACTATGATGGTTATGTGTCAGCTTGCCTGGCCCATGATTCTCAGTGGTTTGTCAGTTAGTTATGTAATGATGTAATTTGGCAGTTATGTCCCACTTTCTAATCTGATGTGGTCATTTTCTCGAAATGCTGATTTTCACATAATAACCTGGTCTTTGGAACCTAACCATGTTTGTAAAATGAGGAGTGGTATGCTTCATTTCTATATTTTGGCTGATTAGGAAAAAAGATGAGAAGTAGGAGAGATAAGGAAAGAACTAAAGGCTAGAGAGGATAACATAGTGAGTGGTAGCATATAAAGATTGACCAATATTGAAGCAAGTATTTTTCAAAATCTTTGGGTCAAAATAATGACAAAATTCATTAAAATGTAACTTGCTTTATGACAGTAATGATAGTTACCAAGTTTTGTCCAGGCACCATGCTAAGCATCTTAAGTATTTTGCCTCTTATCTTTTCTACGGAACACTGGTGGCACTGTAGGATAATGACTGGACTGCTAACCGCAGGGTCGGCCAGTTCGAGTCCATCAGTCATTCCAAGCGGGAAGAGGTGAGACTTCTGCTCTCATAAAGTCTCAGAAACCCTTTAGAGGGTCACAGAGTCAGAACTGACTCAGTGGCCCTTAACAACGACATCCTCCCTACTAGAGCAATGGTAGCTCTGTAGGATAAGCCCTAGACTGCTAACCACAAGAATGGTAGTTGGAACCCACCAGACTCTTAGCGGGAGAAAGGTGAGGCTTTCTGCACCTGTGAAGATTTACAGCCTTGGAAACTCTGTGGTCTCTATGAGTCAGCATGGATTCCATGGCACTTAGCAACAGTCCTTCCTACAGTCCTGTTAGTAAAATGGTATTCCTCTTGAGGCTTGGTGGTGGTGGTGGTTATATGCCGTGGAGTCAGTTCTGATTCATAGCAAACCTCTTACAGGAGCAGAAAGCCTCATCTTTCTCCCGCTGAACAGCTGGTAGTTTCGAACTGCTGACCCTGTGGTTCGCAGCCCAATTTGTAACTAAGTGTTGAGGCTTAGATAGGTTAAATGATCTATGCAGACAAAACCAGAGTAACTGAACTCAAGGATTTGAACATTGGTCTTTGACTTTAAAGCCTTTGCTTCTCCACTATGCCACACCTTAGAATTAAAAAAATAAAAAAGAGGTAAAGGTGGCCAGAATACGTTTTCAAGTGTTTAAAACTCTTGCCTAAGGGCTAAGCAGGACAAACACTCGAAATCCCTTTTCCTCCTCAACAACAATAATAACAACAAAAATTTCTTGATTTGGAAAGTGGGGAGTGTGTTTTAATTTTTTAGAAGAAAATGCCAATTTTCAAGGACCAGAAGAAGCTTTACCTTGTGACTCTTGGAGACACTGCTGTTAAAGAACTGAAGACATGTTATATGTTTTCTTTGTGTATGTGTATATATATTCCTGGATGGGTCTCACCGGCCAGAGGACATTAACCCATACACCAGTACAGGAGTGGCAAGTAATTCTGTAGCCACCTTGTTGGAGTCTGCATCAGTAACTGATTATGGCTTTCTAGCTGCTGACTCAGAATATTCAGTATTGTATTCTAGAACCACTACTGATTGTTCAGAACTGACTCTTGGGATAAAAGCTATTTGTTATTTCCTGGATATGGGGTTCTGTAATCCTAATAGCACATTTTCTTCAGATTAGATTGGATTCTGGCTGTTTTCCCTGCCCAGTGTTACTTGTGCTTTTCAACTTCTGACTTACAAAGTCTTTTCAGAGAAATTTTGCTTTCTTTACTAACTTCCAGTCGTATAAATCATTTCATTCTTCAGACTTCCTATAATGCTTGTTAATGCCATTGAGTTGGTTCCAACCCATAGTGACCCCTGTATAGGGTTTCCTAGGAGCAACTGGTGAACTTGAACCTCAGACCTCACAGTTCAAACCGACTTTGCAGTCCAACACATTAACCCACAGTGCCACTAGGAAATGTACTTACTTAATTTTGTTCATTGAATTGCTCCTTTAGAAATAGTCAGTTTCATTGTTACTTCTTGGTCATCCTAATTGCTTTATTTCTCTTGTTCTATATTTTTAGGAGGTACACACACATACAAGGGGGTTTCAAAAAGTTCATGGATAAATTGAATTAGAAGATAATGAAATTTTCCACAAACTTTTTGAAACCTCCATTATTTATATGTGTGTTATGTATATATGTTGTTGTTAAGTGCTATTGAGTAAGTTCCGACTCAGAGACCCGGTATAGTGTTTCCAAGAAGCGACAGATGGGTTTGAACTGCCGACCTTTATCTATATATTCCTTGTAAATCAATATTCTTTTAAAAAATATTGGCAAAGTTCAAGAGTGTGTGTGTGTGTGTGTGTGTGTGTGTAGGTAGAGCCCTGTGGTATAAGCATTAGGCTGCTGGTCTCAAGGTCAGCAGTTCAAACCCATCATCTGTTCTATTGCTACTGAGTTGATTCCAACCCATAGTAACCCTGTAAGACAGAGTAGAAAAGCTTCATAGGGATTTCAAGACTGTAAATCTTTCATGGAGCAGATAGTCTCATCTTTCTCCTTGTATCTGATGGATTTGAACTGCTGACTTTGCAAGTAGCTGCCCACTGCTTATGCCGCTGGGGCTCTATACATATGCGCATACTCCCCCCCAACACACACACATGTATTTGAACTTTGCCATGATTTTAAAAAGGAATATTGATTGTTGAACCACTCTAAACTGTGACTGTATTAGTATTTCACAGGGATATCATGAATTTGGACTTCTGATTTGGCTCTGTGGATTAGCACTGGATTGTGAACCACAAGGTTGGCAGTTCAAACCTACCAGCGGCTCCTCGAAAAATCACTGTGAAGCAGAACCAACTTGATGGCCCTTAACAGCAATAACAACATCATGAATTTTTAAAATGTCAGCTCATTTAGATGATTTTTGCATTGTGCTATTTCCAAAAATGTCAATTTGACTTTAGCTATAGAGTCCTGGTGTGGTGTTGTGGGTTAATGTGCTGGACTGCAAAGTCTGCTTGAACCACAAGGTCGGTGATTCAAGCTCACCAGCCACTCTGTGGAAAACCTGTACAGGGTCACTATGGGTCAGAACCAACTCGACAGCACTTAACAGCAACAACAAATAGGAACTAATTTCATTATCTGAAAAATACTGTTTATATTTTGAAAAGAAACTTAGTCAATTATTTAAATATGGTACTTCTCTATTTCACATGGTGAAATAAGTTTGCATATGATAGTATTTTGTTTGAGGTTAATATCTGGGTCATTTAAAAGAAATTCTAGCATCATTTTAAAACACACAGAACCAGATCCAAGTGACTCAAAGTATAATTATTGAATTGATATCCTAATGGGTCTGTCAACAATGAATGATTAAATTCTTGAGGAAAAGACACTTTTCAAAATTTAATCTATCGTTGTGGCTTAAAACCTTTTTCTGTTGCAGTATACTCAACATATTTATCTTTCTTGTGTTTTAGATTCTTTCAGTGATCTATATAGTTCGTATACAATTTTTTACCTCCTGCTGCTGTCAACGGTAATAGTGATAATAAATATTTTCAATGTGGAGTTTTATACAGGTGAGTTTCTAATGGTAACCATCTGAAAAGAATCTGAGTCTATTTTAGTAGGATGTTTTGTATGTGGGTATATATAACAGAGGCTGTGTTTTGTACCAAATTAAAAATATATATATATATATATATATATATATATATATATATATATATATATATTAATCATCTGTTTTGTGAATGCCTTAGTTAGAATGTATATGTGTACTAGTTTCTGTTTTAAAACATATTAGTCCTTTTAATAGTTGACAGCTTGTATTAAAGTTTTGATTCAGCAGGTGCTTTTAGATTTAGATATCAAACTAGGTAATGTTTAAGGTCTCTTTCAAATAAAAATATCTACATTTTGTGACTTAAAAAAATAGAGTATCTGCTAGATTCAGAAGCTTTTTTTCTCAGTTTTTTTCCCTTGGTATTCCTGCCTTTTTAGATTCCTTGAGTCTGTCCTAATGGTACAATAAGAAGCTTTTTACAGACACTTCTAATCTGAGCTCTCCTGTAGTTTCTTGCTAGACATAGTATAAAATTTAAAACCCTAACTCTGATGTTGTAATATATATCCTTTTCCTTTGATATCTGACATGTGTAATGGGTCTCTTTCTTTCAAACCCTTCCTAACGGATCACAATTATGGTGAGACATATAGTAAACATCAACATGTTCAATTATAACACATTGGATGCTGGGGGAATATATAGAAGCAACACTTATCCAAAATGGGGGAACTTCCTGGAAGAGATGATGTTTAAGCCAAGTCTTGAAGGATGAGTTATGTTAAGGTGACAAGGAAAATTATATTCTAGGGAGAAAATACAGCATGTAAAAAGGCTTAGTGATACAAGTTGTTGTTGTTAATGCCATCAAGTCGGTTCCAACTCATAGCAACCCTGAATAGGGTTTCAAAGGAGTGACTGGTGAGCTTGAACTGCTGACTTTGTTCAAACCAACCTTTCAGTCCAGGGCATTAACCCACAGCGCCACAGCAGGACTTCTCAGTGGGGTTGGTATAATCAGATCTAGTAAGTGGCACAGTCAGAAAGTCTTCAGGGAACATTTCTGGTAGGGAGGGGGAGGTGCTAGCAGCCTCTTCCCCATAGTACTCAAATTACCTAAGTCCTCTAACTTCACTTTTATTTTTTGACTCCTCCACAATCTCTATACTTTGAATTTATTAAAAGAAGAATGCTTATGTAGATAGGTCAAGGAATGCTGTTGTTAGCTGTTTACAAAGATCAGTTTTCAACCCATTCATCTCTCCCAAATCACGTTCAGAAAATTGTGTGGATTAGAGAAATACTAAAATATTCTCATACAAGCATTCATTTTTTTTGGAATTCAGTATTGCCAATATTTACACAGTTGTGGTTTGTTTTTTAAATACTGATGATTTCAAATGCTAAAATTAAGATAATTTGCTGTAGAGCAAGAACTTTATCTTCTATTATTATTATTGACTCTTTTGGCACTTAGGAGAGTGGTAGAATAGACACTGCTTAAGTTTTCAGCAAATTTTAATGACAAATGAAAATGTTAACCATGCTTTCCTTACATTTCATCTCTCTACTCTAGATTCTTTGATTTTTCCTTTGTGTATATCTCTGTGAGTTTGATCTTAGATCACTTTAAGTTAGAATATTTCTGTACTGCATTTTACATTGACTTTTGGTTTCTTCCAGCCATTTGGAATATTTTGCAGGTTGAGAAGGAATAGTTTAAGTTCTTAAACTTCATATGCTACAGATTATAAAGCCACAATAATGTGCTTTGTTTGCAGTTGTGCCCTGTATTCCCTGCTCCAGACTGGCACTCATAGGGAAGATCATTCATCCTCAGCAGGTCATGCACTCGTTTATGCATGCTTCTATGGGAATGGTGATGGCTTGGTGTGCTGCAGTGATAACCAAGGGCCGATACAGTTTTCTTGTGGTTCCCTGCACAGGTACTCAGAGGTAATAGCAAATGTTTTTTTCTAACATTTCTTAGCAAATGTTAATTGCTAAACCAAAGGCAACCTGTATAGGTGAATAGTTTATGGACTATTTTTTGCTTTCCAGACTCTGACAGACAGTGGCTTTTATAAATACAGCAAATATTTTTGATGTTTTATGTTTGTTAAATTCATTGATTTATTGTTTTCTAACCATTTATTATGTGCAAGGCACTATACTAAGTATTGTTGGATTTATGAGAGTGGTTCATGCAAAGGCTAGAAGTTCTCTGAGAGGTGGGACCAAAGGGAAACAAAGATATGGACACATAAGGATGCTATAGGAGGAGGACTTCTTGGAGGAGGTGTCCTTTAGTTTGAAGGAAGAGTACTATGGAAAGAATGAAGAAAAAAATTTTGAGTAATTGTAGTTACCTTCTTTAGCATGCTTTTTAAATTTTGAAACTTAAAACAGTTCTTGAACACACAGCATTGATAAAATTTTAAATTGATATTCTGACATCAAAAATCAGATGATTGATGTAATAATCTTGTTAAGTGTCGTCAAGTCAGCGTCTGATTCATAGTCACCTTGTATAGGGTTTACAAGGAGCTGCTGGTGGGTTTGTACTGCTGACTTTGTGGTTAGCAGTCTAGTGCTTATCCTACAGTGCCACACCAGGACTCCGTAATAATCTTAGTGCCCCTATTTTCCACTGACCTTAAAACAACACACATGAATAATATTGAATGTTTCATTTCCTTTTAGCTTACAGGTATTGAGGCAACTTTTTCCTTATGTGCTAAGATTTTTTTAGTGAAAATTTGTTGTTAAACATGTAGTGATACAGGACATCTGTGGAAAGGGACCACTGTGAGTAAGGAAATCCAAATTGCTCATCTGGTTAAATCTGGAATTACTTTTGCACATCTCTGTATATTTAGCAAAGGTGGCAGTGAAAGTTTCAATGAGCAGGAGGGAGCAGTAAACTATCGGTGTTAAAGAGATTGGTGCCTACTATAATTAATATATTACAGATTATTTTACAGTTAGAATCTCTAGCAAAACTAATATTGTTTCATCATCTTATCACTCAGGGTCAGAAAACAAGTCAACCAGGTATCTCACCTCTCATGGAGATAGGTGGTAGGTTAGGTCCACAGTCTCCCCTCACTCATGAAAAATGGACTACTTTTGAATTATAGTATGTTGGCTTTATACACCACAGATATTTGATAGATTGTAGAGATTCTCAGTAAAATCTCAAAGGAATTTAAGAGCTTGATGTTCACCAAACAGATAAGATCTAGATCTGAATCTCATACTTACAGTTAAAAGCCTGACATAAGATAATAGGGTAGTGACTTGTGGCAGTATTTTGACTTATCTAAATATTCAAAATTTATAAGACAGCTATAGCTTGCCAGCTGGGAAACATCAAGAGTATATCTTAATTATGGATCCTTGTAGCAGTTCATAGAGGTCATAGATTCCACAGCCATCTGGGAGTTGTCTTGTGCCTACTCCCAACCCTCAACAACAACTCAAGTACAGTAAGAGATCCACTTCAGACTGATTTGTCCTTCCCTTCTTCCCCGTGGTTTAGAAGCCTTATCCCACAGGACCCAGTGACTCTTATACCAACTTCATAGGCATAGCATCTTGGGTGTATGTATATGTATTTCTGATTCCTCCCAGTCCAGATGAGAATAATGGTGATGGCTTGGTATATGGCAGTGATAATCAAGGGCATGTACAGTTTTCCAGATGCAGGTTTTTTGGTTTTGTTTTTACATCAGAAGCAGTGTTACTTTGTATCATAAGTTGATATTCTTACCCATATCAGATTTCCATTGGAACGGAGCTAGAGATCAGTTCTCATGCATTTAGGGAAAAGATTCTTGTGACTCCTTTACCCTCACTTACCTAAAACAAACCATTCTGTTAGAATTTGGAGGATTTCTTAGGTGATAAAGTCAAAGTTTTGCCTTCAATAAACATTGAGTCTTGAACATTGATAAGCATTCTGATGCTGCTGAATTAAAATAACTTTTTTTCCTTCAGCTTAGATAGCCCTTCTGCACAAACCTGCTTCAATGAATATCACCTTTTTTTCCTACTGGCTGGAGCATTCATAGGCTATAGCTATAGCCTTCTGTACTTTATCAACAATATGAATTATCTTCCATTCCCCATCATACAGGTAAGATAGCATTTGAGCATTATCTTATAGCTAGAATTTGACAGAGTTGAAATTGCCTTTGTAAATGTTTATAGAACCGACCATGTCTTATTCGTTCAAGGTTTTGACCAGCAAAATTTAAATGTCAAGTCCTTAAAAAACCATCTAGAGAGAAGAGGCTTGTTTTCATCAGACTTTAGTGTATGTATGGGAGCTGCAGCTGCCCTTCCTGATGCCAGTCTCAGTACTGCTCTGCTCTACTTTCCTTCCTTGCTAGGTAGTGTCAGTTCCAGTGATCTGGCAGGGTTGTAAAGTATCCGTGTAGCTGCCAGCTTCTTTTTGAACTTAAAAACCTCATGAGCTTGGGGATTTATAAGTAAGTAAAGAATATGTCAGTTACTGTTTCCATTCCTTTTCAGAACAAGGCAAGGTTATATAAGTAAATTAAAATGTCAGTTGGTTTGAGAGGAGCAGTTTAAACTCTTTCACTTAGGTTTTTAAAAATGTAATCTGGTAGATGCCGTTTCTGAAACCCAGAGCCATCTATTAACATCACAGATACACAACAGAGTGAACGTAGATGCAGTCTAGTAGTTGATAATGATTTTTATCATGTTATGTCAGAATGGTAAATTTTGACACTCAAGAGTTTTTGTAATTTTTTTTATATGTAAATATAATTTTAGATTTTTCTTGTATCCCATATGGTCTGTTTCAGCTTGGCAGAATGTTGATTTTTAATATTTGGCCATTCAGTATTTGGTCAAAATATACATGTTTATTTGTCCAGTTGGGTGCCTGGAGTGAATTGGAGCAAAGCTTTTGTTGGGTGGATATAGTGAAAGGACAGTATAGTAAAGGAGGTGAGGATTTTGGCAAGAGTAGTTGAAATGATGAATCTTGGTTACCAGGACCATAGTTACCCATCCATCACTTTTGTAACTTTGTTTGCCTAACTGGGTGGGTTTGCTTTCCCAGAACACTGAATGCGACACACTGTAGTATAGTCTTCTCTCATGAGCCCTAGGAGCACAGTGTACGGTACATAGTCTTCCCTGTGTTTTAAGTTGCTAAGGGAATTAGAACCAGTTGTCAGGAAATTGCAGACTTGATGTGCGATCTCAGGGCTTTCTCCCCACTTTAAGCTTCCGCAGAGTGACACTGATAGCCCCTTAATTTAGTCTTTAAACAGCCAAGCTGATTAGAAAATGTTAGCTACTTTTGGTGCTGGCTATTATATCCAAAGAAACTCTGTGATAATCTCATAAAATATTCAAATACTACAAGTAACTTGCCATAGCTACAGATATAGATACAGAAGCCAGGATGGCGAAACATCGTCTCTCATACAGAGGGTGGTGAGGGACCCGGCAGTGTTTTGTTCTGTTGAGCATTGGGTTGCTATGAGTTGGAACCAACTCAACTGCACCTAATAACAACATAGATATAAAGGAAAGCCCTCTTGTTGACCATTACCCAGCTTACCAATTTTTTCCTGCAGTGATCGCCATTGAAACTAGCTTAGTGAATAGCATTTCAGACCCTTTACTGTGCATTTACATATATATATATATATACATACATACACACATACACACACAATGGACTAAAAGGTCGGTTTGAATTGCAAGGTTGGTTGTTCAATCCTACCAGCCACTCCTCAGAAACCCTATGGTCGCTATGACTCGTAACTGACACGGTGGTGCTTAACAACACTGCACATACAAAATAAGTACTGATACTGCTAACCTCAAGGTTGGCGGTTCAAACCCACTAGCCATTCCTCAGAAACCCTATACAGGGTCAATGGCACTTAATAACACACATAAAGTTATATATTTTGCGAGGTGGGATTTACATAAATAATTTCATATTGTATGTATTAGTAACTACATTTTAAAGAAAACTATGAGAAATTGGCTATTTAAAAAAAAATCTAATTATGACCAATTTGCTGTTAACAAATTGTTTGTTGTTAGGTTTTTTTTTTGTGTGTGTATTTATTTTCTTTAAACTTCCTGTGCTACTAAAACCTGTTCCATTGCCCTTATCAAATGCTTATGCAATAGGCTAATTAATAAAAAGAATATTAGCATGGAGAAGAAGAGAGTAAAAAATGAATGTGCACTATGGACTTGGCAAGTTATAGGCAACGAAGCTACTAAGAGTATTAAATGAGATAAGATTTATAGAGCACATAGCACAATGTGTGACACTTAGTAAATACTCAGTAAACAGTTACTCATAGTCAAATCACAGAAGAAATCCAACAGGGAGTTAAAAAATATTTCAGCTTGGAAAGGTTGATTAAATTTTCTCTGCATAGCTTCTAAAATGTCCTCCTTCCTTAGCCTTCACTCTGTACATATGTGAGTAATATCTGAAGTGAAAGCTGCCATAAGACTAGTATAGGAGTTGTGTTTTTTATATTGGGGTGCTGATGGAGCAGTGATAGCACATAATAGCTGCGTGGAATAGTGCATTTTCATACTTTGCCCTTAAAAGTATTTGAATATATCAGTATGATTTAAACCATTCAGGTAATGATTATTCATATGGGCTGCCCTTTATAAGATAGTATAGGCATCTGTCCACCACTCATTTGTCAGTGTGTCGTACTGTGATGGTCTGTATGTTGCTGTGCTGCTGTAAGCTATACAACTGTTATTTTAAATACTAGCAGGGTCACGCATTCTGAACAGGTTTCATCAGAGATTCCAAACTAAGACTGACAAGGAACAAGAGGCAGACTACTTTTGAATGGTTAGCCACTGGAACCTTATGAATAGCAATGGGGCATTGTCAGATATGTGCAGAAGATGGAAACATGAATAACACCAGAATATTGTCAGATATGAGACAAGAGGATGAGCCCCTCATGTTGGAAGGTATTCAAAATATGGCTGGGGAAGAGCTGCCTCCTCAGAGTAGAGCTGACTGATGATATGAATGGACAGAAACTTCTAGGACCTTTATTTGCTGATGGGACACAGCTAAAAATGAGGAGAAATAACTCAAACATCTATTAATAATCAGAATTTGGAATGCAGAGAGTGAATCTAGGAAAATTGGAAGTTGTCAAAAATGAAATGTGTAAACTTCAATATTGTAGGCATTAGAGTGGAAATAGACTGGTATTTGCCATTTTGAATCAATCACATAGTTTATTATGCCAGGAATGATAAATTGAGGAGGAGTGTATTGCATTTATCATCAAAAAGAGCATTTCAGTATCTGTCTTGAAGTACAATACTCTCCTTTATAGGATACAATCCATGCTCCTATGGGGAAGATCAGTTAATACCACTATTCAAATTTATGCACCAACCATTAAAGCCAGTGATGACATTGAAAAATTCTGCCAACTTCTTCAGTTTGAAATTGATCAAACATGCAATCAAGATGTATTGATAATTACTGGTGATTGGAATGTGAAGGTTGGAAATGAGGAAGGATCAGTGATTGGAAAATATGGCCTTAGTGATAGAAATGATGTTAGAGATCATGATAGAATTTTGAAAGACCAATGACTAGTGGTTACGAATCGGGCTGCAAACCTAAAGGTTAGCAGTTCGAAACTACCGGCTGTTCCATGGGAGAAAGATGAGGCTTTCTGCTCCCGTAAAGATTTACAGCCTCGGAAACCCTGTAAAGGGTTGCTATGAGTCGGAACCGACTCCACGGCACTTAAAAACAACAACAATGGCTTTTTCAATGTAAATACCTTTTTCCAGTAATAGAAATGTCTACTATAGACATGGACATCACCAGATGGAATATACAGGAATCAAACTGACTACATCTGTGGGAAGAGGTGGTGGAAAAACTCAATATCATCCAAAACAAGGCCAGGATCAGACTCACATGCAAGTTCAAGCCGAAGTTGAAGAAAATTAAAACAAGTCCACAAGAGGCAAAATATGATGGAAGCAACAATGAAAGAAATCAAACAACATATTGTTGTTAGGTGCCATCAAGTTGCTATTGACTCATAGTGACCCTAGGCACAACAGAATGAAACACTGCCTGGTCTTGCACCTGCCTCCTCTTTAAAGTATTAGAGACCAACGTAACACATTAAGAACTAAGGTGCGATTGACCCAAGCCATGTTATTTTTAATGGCCTCATATGCATGTGGAAGTTGAACAATGAATAAGGAAGACTGTAGAAGAATCAATACATCTGAATTATGGAATTGGCAAAGAATGTTGAAAATACCGTGGACTACCAGAAGAAGAAACAAATATGTCTTGGAAAAAGTGCAGCTGGAATGCTCTTTACAAGGGAGGATGACAAGACTTCGTCTTTTATACTTTAGACATGTTATAAGGAGGGACCAGTCTCTGGAGAAGAAGATCATGGTTGGTAAAGTAGAGGGTCAGTAAAAAAGAGAAAGGTCCCCATTGAAATGGATTGACACAGTGGCAGCAACAATGGTCTCAAACATAACAGTTCTGAGGATTGTGCAGGATGAGGCAGTGTTTAGTTCTGTTGTACATAGGTGGGGTCACCACTGAGTGGGAGCTGATTTACAGTATCTAACAATAACAACATGATGTTGATGAGATGCCATCTGTAGGATTAGTTTGTATCTTGAGTCAGTCTCTTTTGAGATACAAAAGGAGAGAGGAGAGCAGAGAGGGGTGGGGACTGGGGAGGTGTGGAGGGACATACCATCACCAAGATAAAAGGGCTGGGAGTGGAGTGCCTCCTGTAGACCTGTGGTCCTTGCACTGTGACGTTCCTAGTTCCAGGGGAAGATGATGCCAAGACGTATGAAAATCTTCAAAGAATACTGGGACTACAGATGCTGAAAGGAGACAAGGACAATGGGAAAGTCTTCCCCTACAGCCAGCAATCGGAATTTTGACTCCTAAACTGTGAGAGAATGAATTTCTGGTTTTTAATGCCGTCCACTTGAGATATTTCTGTTACAGAACCATTGGATAAGCAAGATACTGATGTAAAGTAAAAAATGTAAAAATAAGCACCTACCCTTACTTAATATTCATGTCTGTGA